CCCTAAACCCTCAACCCTAAACTGCTTCAACCCTAACCGGCAACAGGAACCCAGGCACTGACAGGCGCTGATGCAGGAAGTGAAAGTGATGACGTCTGGCAGCACCTGGGTTTAGGGTTAAGGGCTTAGGGNNGGGCTTAGGGTTTAGCTTTTAGGGTTTAGGGTTCAGGGCCCCTTAATAAGGGATTTGTAGGGGTTCCTCCACAGGTTTAGGGTTAAGGTAAGGGCTTACCCTAAGACTCAAAATAGACCAAAAGCCTTATATAGTATGGTCTTTGGGCCCAAAAGCCTTGAAATATGAGTCCTTAGAGCCTTAAGCTTAGGGTATAGCTTTTAGGGTTTAGGGTTCAGGGCCCCTTAATAAGGGATCCATAAGGGTTCCTCCACAAGGGATCTCTAAGGGTTCTATAGGGGTTCCTTTCAAGCCTAGATTCCCCAGTGGCCCCTTACTAACAAGGGTACACCTTTTCCCTAGCATTCGGTTTGAACAAGGGGACCTCTCCCCAAAAAAAAACAAAAGGGTACTGCGGTGGAAACTAGGCGCGGCTGCAGACGGCATGCCGGCCAACAGCTCCAGGGCCACTTGCCAACTGCCGTCTTTCTCACAGACACTGATCCTGGTTCCCTGTTGGGGCTAGAATAGACAATTATCATGTTTAACCCGTATTGGGTTTTACTAAGCTTTACTATACCGAAGATGTAAAATTGTATCCAAACAAGGACCCCGGATCGTAGAATTGTAGCTGACAGCGCTAGCTGCAAGCCGACCAGTATGCAGCTTAGAAAACCTTGGTTCTACAGGCGCCTCCTCATAGTACAGGAACACAAAAGAAAAAAAGGGCAAAACGGTACCACTGGGAACCTAGAAACACATGCACAGCCATCTGCCATCTGCTTCCAGATTCCTCATGCCGCTGCAAAGCTGAAACCACTGAATTAAAACCTGAGCTCTGCAGTCATCCAGGAGTCAACATTCGGTGTATTTTGTACCAGCCCTTTTTATGCAAAAGGTGTGTGGGTGTATACTCTCTCTATATATATATATATATATGTATGATATATGATATTATATCTATATATATATATATCTCTCTCTCTGTCTCTCTCTTCAAAAACCGATGTATATACACAGATACATGTAGAGGCATGTGTTTATATATAAAGGTGTACACACATACTTCATGCAACGTGCAAAAGAAGGTGCTGTACTCCAGAACCCAGAAGCTGATCGTGGATGCAGAGACCGCCGCCTCCTGCATCCTTGAAAGCAGGGAGGCGGAACATCTCCAGCCTAGGTTCCCCAGTAGCTCCTTACGATTAGGGCTTAGGGCTTAGGGTTTAGGGTTTAGGGGGGCACCCTTTTCCCTACTATATGGTTTAGGGTTTAGGGTTTTGGGGAATCCAAAAACAAAGTTAAAGGGGTACTGCTCGCGAACCTAGCAGCTCTCTTTCTCGCAGGCACTGATGCCCGCATTGAAACCTCACTAACCGAACCCGGCTTAGGGTTTAGGGTTTAGGGTTTAGGATTTAGGGTTTAGGGTTTAGGGTTTAGGGCCAAGTTTAGGGTAGATTTTTTTTAAAAAAGAGCTTAGAGTCATAAGTCTAACCGACCTGAGCCCGACGAATCCGTCGAACTTGAGAAGCTTAACAGGCTCAATCCCTAAGGGCCCATGTACCGAAATAGTATATACATTGGCCCTAAAGTACCTATACAGGGACTACATTAAGGCCAAAGTATACACTATTTGGGTACATGGAACCTTAGGAACCCTAAACCCTAAACCCTAAACCTTAGGGAATAGCTGGGTCTTGACGAGCGGAGAAGCTGATTGTGCTAAGCTCGACTCTTGAGCTCGGCATGTCTGAAAGAAGCTGAAGTGCCATCCCCCACCCACCAGCTTCTTCAAGGGTGCCCAGTCCTATACTGAACTTAGACCCCTAGCAAAAATTATATTTTTGTTGCTGCTTCTTAGGGTTTATAGTAACCAAAGATTAAAAAATATTTCTAAGTACCCCTAAGATTCCTGCAGTGTAGCTGAAGACGGTTGGCGAAACTTCTGCTGGATGCATCTGGAAGAAGAGATTGAGTCCCGTCTGCCACCGGCCGCCTCTGCAACAGGCCGTGATGCAAGTGTTGAAGCAGACGGCGTTTGGCAACACCTTAGTCTCAAAATCCCGGAAAGGACACAGCAATCCCCAACCGTCAAAAGGAGGATGAAGGATACGCGTTCAGGGATTCGACTTCGAATTCACACGAGTTTAGGGGTTGAGGTGTTGAAGCTTGAGTGTGCCACGCTTCCACGATATGATCCGTGAAGCCTCCATCTAAATCTCCAACATCACACAACTTGATCCCGATATGACTATGCATGGCCCCATGCAAGTTAAAAGCTAAAACCTTGTGTAATACTAGAACATGTCAGCAGTGAGCTGCATCTTTCAGTTGGTCCCTCCGGCTTGGCGCACTTACCACAAGGGACCACGTACCCAAAGAGTATAGAGTTTGGCCCCAAAGTACCGATACAGGGACTACTCTAACGGAAGTTATATGCTATTTGAGCATATCGACATCACTAAAAGGATTTAATCGGGCTTTGGGAATGCAGGGATCAAGGGCTCAAGCGCCGTTAGACCCATAGTAGAACAAATAACAATCCCCTAGGAGTTGTATTCTCTAGTAGAATTTGGTTTCTGAGGGTACATGAGGCTTCAGCGCAGGCAGCCGAAGCACATCTGCAGAAGACATCGCCGCAAGCAGCTGTACAGCCTTCGCCCAACATCCGGCCCTCTCGCCTGGTCTCTTTGCTTGCATCTTGTGAAAGTTTACACTTGTGGATTTGGCTTCAGGCAGCGTGCCACCGCACCTACGTGGCTTCCGAGTTTCAACCACCATAGCGACGGTTTAAGGCTTGGAATTATGGGGTGAAGTCGCCACGCAATGCCGAGCCGCAGCAACTGACACCGCTGCCATAGCTGACAACATCAGGTCGAACAATGCGAGGCGGCATCGCAGACAGCAAATGGAGCCCGTTCTCCCAGAATCGAAGTTTGCCCGCTGCACCAATCTCCTACTGTAGGGTACCCTGGCCAAAAGAAGCCAACCGTTTCAAGTACGCTAGGATGCAAAGGTTACCAAATAGACAGGGCCTTCATAATTTCAATAAGGTTTTG